GTGTTGCAAAGAGACAACCAAATTATTGTGATTATTGATCATTTTGCTATATTATTAACATCATTATTAATATTAATGGTGAGTCTAAAAAATCTGTTATTTTAACGTGTTTTATTGTATAAAAAAGGAGTTTGTTTCTCACAGGGTTAGCTGTCTGTACTTTACATAGACTTGTGTCAGTGTTTGTACCTGAAAATGTGGAATTTTCATATTTTATATTTTTAATTCTTGTGCAATATTGTTACATTACGTTTCCGGCCTTTTTTTTTTTAAATTGCCTGTAGGTCAGTTTAATAGAAGGTGAAAAAATAAATCTGTTTATAACAGTGAGGACAATCATGTAAGAAAATAAATCTGGTAAACACAGRTTATTCTTTGAAATGCGCAGGTTTTAGGCCATGAAAGGGACAAAAAATAGTTTGTTTTTGAGTCTGCTGTTTTTGATTTTACTCTCATTCCAAAATAAATGTTGCCTATATTGTGAAGTATCCCTGGAAAAAAATAATAAATCGTTTATTTAATTTATCTTTTGGTTTACTGATGCTTGCAACTCTGAAATAATTGCTCCACGATCCTTAAAAAAAAAGAAAAGGTGCAAAATAAGCTAGAAATGATGGACATAATTTTAATTCAAGTGATTTTCAACAAAAATTTAAATAATAAAAATACAATGTCCTTTATGTACATGACTCTTATTTTGACATTTTGATTAATTATTGCTATCTCTAATATATCATAATGAAATATACAGTATGGTCATAGCTTTGGCTGGCCACAGTTGAACCACTTTAATAATGTATTTTTTGTGTCATATAATAGGTTAATAATTATTGTTAATTATATAATTGTCATTTTTTTCTGCTTATGTGCGTTACTTTTGGTTTTAAGCCTACTTCTGTYTCCTGCAAGCCACAATAGGTCAGGAAAGATAACAATTTAATATAAAATGAAGTCATGATAAGACTTAAAATTTCACACATTGAGTAAAAGATTATGTTAAATCTAGACGACTGCGGGGGAAATCACTAATGTAACGCAAGCTTGCTAAACACCTTGACTGATAAAACTATAATGTCTGTATTTGCTCCACATTAAACTGATTTAATTCAACTGTCGTTTCTTCTATCTTGAATGAAACGCAGGCAGAGGAAGAAAAATGGAGACGCGACAGACCCCTGTCACGTGATCTTAATAGCGACGACGGAAGTGAACAAGGAAGTAAAACTCAACCAATGAAATCGTAGGCGCGAATTCGAACTTTCGTTTCAACCAATCAGAGACCTCCGGATTGTCGCCAGCGTTTTCCGTGCAGAAGCTAAGCAGCTACAAGCCACCGCTTGGCTTCTAGCGCTTTTCAAGCTTCATATTTTCTATTTCGTCGCATATAGAGGAAAAATACTCGGCGTTGTGAAGTTATCACATCAATTTACGTTCTTACGATATCAAACAGAGACGGTAAGTAAAGCGAGACGGCTAGTCTTGAGACTTGTAGTCGATTCTTTATGCTAAGTGTTAGCAATAGCATAACTGGGCTAGGTAGGTGACATTTGCTATTGATGTAACGGAGAATGTAAGGTATTCCCTTTTTTATTCAGCTGATGATTGTTAAGATTACACTCAAATAATGATAATTTAGACACATGCAGGGAAGTCCTTTCCAAGAAATCGTCATGTGTTTGATCTTTAGTTGATTTGATTTACCCTTGGCTTGCTTGTTAAAAATTATGCCCAACTTCATTGTTTTAAATCTAGTTGTGGGTCAAATTTGATGTTAAATTTAAAGCGGATGGTGTGTCTTACTCAACTGCAGCAGAAAAAACCCATGGTTATACTGTGATTATACAATGTATTTGCAGCCATAAGAGATCAAGTTGTTGTTTTTTTATTCCATAACAAACTTTAGATAAGTGAATATATTTATCTTTTTCTACAGATGACAGGTTCAAACGAATACAAGCTTAACCAGGGACCAGAGGATGGCATCTCTGCTGTCAAATTCAGCCCCACCACCGCCCAGTTCCTCCTGGTCTCCTCCTGGGACTGCACGGTTCGTCTTTATGATGTCGGGGCAAACACCATGCGGATGAAGTACCAGCACACAGCTCCAGTTCTTGACTGCGCTTTTTATGTAGGTCACAAATGTTTGTTTATGTTTCCAGCAATGAACATGTCATAATATAGGTCTTTTCTACATAGATAATGTGAAATTGTACTTGCAGGACCCAACACATTCCTGGAGTGGAGGCTTAGATTCACAGTTAAAGACTCATGATTTGAACACAGACCAAGGTATGTCTCTAACCTTTTCATATAAAACAAAGTAACAGTGAAATCTTTACTAAATAATTGTATTTATAAATTGACGAAGTGGTGTTTTTAATTGTCTTGGAACAGATACAATTGTTGGAACACATGATGCCCCCATTCGTTGTGTGGAGTACTGCCCCGAAGTTAATGTCATCGTAACAGGCAGCTGGGACAGATCAGTTCGACTGTGGGACCCACGAACACCCTGCAATGCTGGCACCTTTAGTCAGCCTGACAAGGTACCAGAATAAAAAAAATATGTTAATTCAAATCAAATTTATTTAGTTTGCATATTAAAAATGTCTGTCTTTAGCCAAAGTGCTGCACACTAAACAATAAATAATAAAAAGATAACACCAAACACAAGAGACCATTATAAACAAACAAAAAAAATATATAACAATTAAATTTGAAAATACACCAAATGAAACTATTAAAATGATGCAAAAATGTCAATAATGTATTAAAGAAATCTTAACCATGTTTATAGAATATAATAAATCTTAATTTAAACAGATAAAAATGTGTACAAATACACACAACATATGGCCAACTTACCAGGCCATCTATATGAAAATGAGTAGGTTGAAATAAAACATGTGCTACTTCTTTTTCACATCAGCAATTATTTAATATATCATCATAATTTTTTAATGTCACCTATTTAAAGAATCACCTCCTAAAAAATAATAACGCTAAGTAAAAGTCATCAAGAACAATTTAGGAAACTTAAATCTATAATAAAAATGTTCTTTAAAAATATATATTAATTCTCCTACTTTGCAGCAAGGCATTTAGGGGGCCGCAATTTTACTGTTAACATTTTTTGTCATACTTTCTGCCTCAGGTGCATATTTTTATTTWAAGTTTTATTGCCAAGTCTAGAACCTCCTATATTTTTTTGTTCAAGGTTTATACGCTCTCTGTGGCCGGAGACAGACTGATTGTTGGCACAGCAGGAAGGCGAGTGCTGGTGTGGGATTTGAGAAACATGGGCTACGTACAACAAAGAAGGGAGTCCAGTCTAAAGTATCAGACCCGCTGCATACGAGCCTTTCCTAACAAACAGGTATTTAAACAAAAAAAAAAAAAAAAGCTGTTGCATGCTACATTAAACCATACAGATCAAATTCTTAATGTGAGATGGTTTTATAGTAACCTCATATTTGGCCTCAGGGCTATGTCTTGAGTTCAATCGAGGGACGTGTAGCTGTGGAGTACCTGGACCCTAGCCAGGAGGTGCAGAAGAAGAAATATGCCTTCAAGTGCCACCGGCTGAAAGAGGATGGAATCGAGCAAGTCTACCCTGTCAATGCCATTTCATTTCATGGCATTCACAACACCTTTGCCACAGGTACAGTCGACTAGATAGTACAWAAGACAAAACAGAATTTTTGTGTTTTTTTTTTTATTCTCTCTCAATGATGTGCCTCTCTCAAACTTGAAATATCCTGTGACCTTTTTTACTGATCTGTCAGGATTTTGTGCGGAAATCCGTTGAGTATCTTTACTGTAGCACAGCTTAAAGCTTTTGAGTGTGACCTCGAACCTCTCCTTCTGCCAGGTGGCTCAGATGGCTTTGTGAATATCTGGGACCCRTTCAACAAAAAGCGCCTGTGTCAGTTCCACCGGTACCCGACCAGCATTGCATCGCTGGCTTTCAGCAACGACGGCACAATGCTCGCCATCGCCTCCTCCTACATGCACGAGAAAGGGGATATCAGCCACCCCGAGGACGCCGTCTTCATTCGCCAGGTCACAGATGCTGAGACGAAGCCCAAGTAAGTTTTCCTGAAAGCCGTGTCACGTTACGTTTTGGACTACTTGTGAAAATTTTGTCCAGCGCTAAATATGCTGAARATGGAATTRAAAAAAAATCTACTTGAAGCCTCTTGTGGATGCATACATACTGTAATRCTAATGATTAGATTGAATAYTCRATCATTATGCGTAATAGTCGTAATAAAAATTTCACAAGCCGGCATAAGTTGTTTTAAAATGTATACAGGGTCTTAACCTTGGTTAACCACCTACCAGRATCTGTTTAATTCTGTTTACAAAGAGCACATGCTGATCTCTATCTCTCTCCATTCACTCTTCAATATCCGACAGCTGAAAGATAGACAGATGAGAATTTAAAATTCTCGCCTCCTTTTTTTTTTTTTGTACGTGTGGCTGTTGTAAATATACTCTGATCAAAATATACCCTTAAGTCTTGCTCACTTGTTTTTAGTAGAGATTTCAGGAGGAGAAGATATTTATTTTCTGATCAGATCCTTTTTAGTTTGCCTTTGTTTAAATTACTATCTTAAAGTCCCCGTGACATGCATATCCTTTAAATACAAAAAAATCAAAGAAAACATCTTTATATTTAAGAGACTTGGTAAAATACACACAAGTTGATCGATTTTGTCGCATAAATGGCATATCTTCATTGAACTTGGCTCAGCCAATGTGAAACAGGAAGTGATATCAAAGGGGAACTCGTTAAAAAAACTCAAAAGTCTTTGCTAATTAAAACAATATTTGAACTCTGACTCTTCATCTCTCTCTGATAGAGACTCAAAATAATCTAAAGAGACATCAGATTATTTTCTATTTTGTCTTTGGTCATTGTAGCAATGTTTCARTTACATTCAGGCTTTCCCCTTTGTCATCACTTCCTATTATTTAACATAGAAATATCTCAAAAACTGTTCAGCTCAGAGGCATAAAAATGTTTCTGCTACAATTTATCAATGTTATCGTTCCAAAAAAGCATTCATGTTCATTACAAAAATCTGTCCTAGACACTTTAAATTTAAATAGCCACAACTTAACTYGCTTCACCTCTGGGTCCTGCTTTGTGTGAGTGAAAAATAGACTGGAACAAAAGATAAATACTAATTATTTGCTTCAGCCTTAATTTTATTATTTAAGAATAAAAGGTTTGATCCAGAAAGTACGGAGCCCGTGAGGGGACATGGGAGATTAATTTTTTCTTTTGCGTTCCCATGCAATAGTATTGCGTTACCTCGCAATACCTTTTGCGTTCCCTCGCAAAAGTTGTTTATCACTGTTGTGCCTGCCGGTTTAATAACAAACTCACATGTTCACCATTAGCGAGTTAGCCTACTGCTTTGATTCAGCTTCAAGATGAATATATCACACAACCACGCATGGAAGTAAGTCATATGCCAATATTTTAACACAGTGCAGCAACATCAATGTCAGTTTCACGAACTTGTGGCGACACATCCTGTTTTGGTAACTGGATATTTAAAAATAAAAGTCTGATTTAAATTCAGTTCATATTCAAAACAAACTTTTTGCGTGGGAATGCAAAACAATATTGCGAGGTAACGCAAAAGTATTGCGAAGTAAAGCAAAAGTATTGCGTGGGAAAGCAAAAGAAAAAAAATTCCTCCATGTCCCCTCGCGGGGTCCTTAAGAAAGAAATTACATAGTAACTGTTTTCAAAGAATAAAACTTCATGTATCAATTGRTTGATGTTTTAAAATTGACTGAAAATTCTGTGTTTTTGTTTTCCAGGTCAACCTGAAGTGGTCTGGGTGTCAGAGCATGTTTCACCACCATGCCAGGATTATCTGCTGGTATCGAGTGTACCATTAGTGTACAGTTTTCTGTCTTTTTCTTTTTCTCCTATTTTTACTGATGTTTAACACGTTCTCTATCTTTTTGGTTGATGTGAAATATTTAATTGTTTCAGTCTTTTGCCTTTTTGCTATGTATTGACACTCTGAGTCCTTTTTTAAACATTACACAACTGCTATCCTCAGATCAGTGTTTTGATACTGATAAATGGCTGAAGTTGATACTTTCCTGGTAATAAAAATGTTCTTGTAAACACTGGATAGAAAGTCAGTTGATTTGTCACCATTTTTCACTTGCACTTTTTTGAAAAAAGGAGACCGTGAGGTATGTTAGGAATGTGTCAAAGCAGAAGTTGCTGTTCTCTTTATGATGTGTTGAAAGTAAGGAGCCAGTGGTGTTGCTGAGGGCTCCACTTAACCTCCAGACGGTGACCTGTGCTGACAGACGTCCAGAGATCTGTGGGCCGAAACAAATCCTGGCAGAAAACACAACACTAACAATTAAATTACAAATTAAGGATGTTTTTTTTAAACTTATAGGCTCATTTATATATTTTTCTTCATTACGGAATACATTTAATTCAAGCAGGCTGATGCATTTTATAAGAACTCTGACTTAGCTGTATTCTGAGCAGCCATGCTGATGTCACTGCCAAACTTTTCAATGTGGCCTGGTATTTGACACTATATGAATGGGAGCAGTGAACAGAGCAGTCCTGCAAGTCTAATGTATTTTTCTTCCTCAATTCAGATTTTCAATGGTGACTAATGCAGTTTCTAAAGCCCTTAGGCCAAAGCAACACAAGAGATATAGATCAAATCTAGCTCTTTTTTTCAGATAATGGCTTTATCTGCTTCTGTGGTATCCTGGAAATGATTAGTCTAATTTGGTGAAATAATTGAACCAACTCCTGTGACTGTCAGTAAGTCTGCCTTTAACATTGGATTCTGACTACAGCTTAACATGAAATGGCATTTATTTTTCGAACTTGATTGCAGRCAGGCGATGGTCGGGGCTTTGTTGTTGGCGGGGTGGGAGTGAATTATGTTTTCTGTCCTCGGCTTCTCCTAAATTGTGAAGTTGAGTTCTTTTTGAGTGTTTTAAACCTGTTAATAGTTCTCCAGTCTATTCTCTAGCTGCCTTGTAGATAAAGGAAATTTAGCAATTAGTGTTTTCTATTCATTTTGAAAATAGCTATAGCTTTTAGTCAGTGCATTTAAGGTTTAAAAGGGCTGAAAAATTGCAGCAGATAATTATGTTGCATTAAGTATAAGCATCTTCTTCGAAGCCCGAGTCTGAAGTGCTCTCATCTGGATGTTTGTTACAGGAGCAAACATCCAGATGACCACATCAGYGGTTAGTGTGGCCAGGCTCTGATTTCCAGCCGCCGAAGTGTTGCAGACAGTTTGGCTCTACATGAAACCGTTACATGCCAATTAAAAAGGGCGATTGCGCTTCGAGCTTCTGTCAGGTGCATTTAACCCGACCACAAAGGGCTCTTATGTTCACWCAAGAGGGCACGGGTGACCTTCAACCAGAACCAGGACACCTTATCTCTCAAGACTGGTTTCTAATATTATATACATGCGATGACATTGTCCTTCACAAGCTGAGGAAAAATGTGGGAAATCACGTGATGCATCAGGAGAGTATTGACATTCTGTGTTGTGGTTTGTCTTTAATTACTGCAGATAGTTGACATGATGCTCCCTTGTGATTTCATGGAAAATAAATGAAATAATCGAGTTATTTCTAATTAAAACTAAATGATTTCCTAACCGCATCGGACAGACTTCCATTTTAAAGTGCTGAACCAATCTGTGCACGTGTCTGTTAGCAAAATATCTCACAAATCACTACATAGATTTTAATGAAATTTTCAGAAACCTATCACAGTATAATCTACAACTGATTACTGTTTGGAGCCAGTGCAGTTTAAGGTGGCCAACACAACCGATGGATTTTAGCAAACACAAAAATAGCTCATTTTTCAGCCGTTGGGCTAAAACCTTTAAAGTTTTAGAACCAGATTTTTATTCATTTCCAAAGCATTACTCGGAGACTTCATGGGATGAGAGATTGTGCTTATTGTAAAGTGATCACTAAAACCCTCCTGTTGTCCTTTGGTCAAAGTGACCCCAGAGGCCTCAGTTTTTGAGACCTCAGGGGACATTTTGACCCAAGGACAGCAGAAGGGTTAAATGATCACAAATGGCACCCCAAAAAAAAAATCAAGTGAAAGTAAAGCTGGGTATTTTCTAATTTTACATTTGTATAACAACATAACCCTACATGGTGAGACATTTAAAATCAAATAACCTTCACTTTAGAATTTATAACCACTAATCTGAGACAAAATAAAGGCAATTTTCTCACTATTTTTTTCAGTGTAGAGAAATGAGAAACCGGACCCTTTGACTTGGACGTGACTGTGGTCGGCCACAGCCCCTCGCACTCCGAGCTGCCCCCTGCCCCAGGGAGGCTTTTAAGGAGCTTTGTTGGGCAAGGCGACATCTCCTCAAGAGCATTGTAGTTACATTAGAGCCTAATTAGACGATAAAGCCCGAGGCCATGTAACCCACTGCTAGGTGTCACGCTAACAGCCATCCATCTCTGTCCGGGGCCCCGTCAGGCAGGCAGCGCCGGGTTGACTAGTGAAGGCTGCGCTCACCCAGCAGCTGGACCGCAGTAAATCAAACATTTCTGAACTTGACAAGAAGGTTGCAGATTTGGACGTTTGAGCTTCTAATTTAGCTCTGAGGTGTTGGGAAGGAAATTAGTCMGATGATAAATGAAACGTGTGGAACAGGTTTTTTTTTCTCCCAAACGCCAGGCATGATTTTCTTTATATGACATTCTGTAATTTATTTTGACTGGAGGGGAAACAGAAACGTAGGTTATCTTGAAACAGTATTACAGCTTAACTGTAAAAAAAAAAAAAAAAAATGTTAGAATACATTATATGATGTTCTGCTCAGGTAAGTTTGGTACTTCAGGGATAAAAACTGATTTTAATGATGTCTGGACTTTACATCTAAAGCACTTTCCAGTTCACCTTTTGGGGTTTGAGTGAAGCATCTTAAAGTAATAATTCAGATCTTTTTAAGTAGAATCCTGTTAAAAAGTTTATGCACAATTAATATCTACATTAATAGTGTCGATCACACTGCATTTTTAGAGAAAAAAATTCTCCAGTCTAAGAATTCACTGAACCTGTTGCATTGCTGTCAGCTTTGGAGAAAAACAAAAAATTTAATTTTGTTTAAACTGTCAAAGAGTACAAGGTGGGCACATCCCATGGGAGACTTTTAAAAACACTATGTTGTTCTCCCCATTCAGACCAAAAATAGGCCTTTTTCCTGTTCCTATGAACATCCCTGTGTTGTTTAACGGGTTYGTGGCCACAGGGCAAAGGTTACACTTTGTCCTTCCTGCAATTAGCATTCACRGTTAGCTTAGCAGAACTAATGCACCTCATCTTTGAGGCTCAGGTTTCCTCCGCAACTCTTCAGTGGCTGCGGGCAAGACTTAAAATGACGGCTTGGTTCCTTTTCAGACTGGTTTTTTTACAGCTGTTACGAAATCCCCCGGATGAATACAGTTTCAATCCAGCTAATTCTAGCCATTTAAGGTGAAGTTGCTGCTGATAACGCTCATCTTGTGCAAAACTTGTAAATGTCTCAAAGGATAAAGTATGAGTCAAAACTACGTCTCCAGATTAATAGGATCCTTTTCTGCTATTATTAGCCAGTATGACGTGYATTTTCGTATCAATACACCTTGAAGCTTTTGACCTGTGAAAATTTAGACAATTAGGACAAAACTTTGTGTTGTGGTAACAGTTGCGAGCAACAGAAATCTTCAAACTCACTGGAGCAACTTCCTGCTGTTACCTCTTTATCTTTGTATGAATTAATGGGGACATACTGTATCATGCAAAATCCACTGTTTTTAACCGTTAAATGCATTTTGTTGTGTACYTGGAGTCTAGGAGTTCAGAAAAGCGAAGTTAGTCTAAAGTTTCTGTGCTGCTATTTGTAAAACCCTCTATCAAACTAAAATGGATTGCTCTGGAAGCTCGAAGGGGGCGGGGCGTGACGCGCCTTGTTTGGATTTAAAGAGACAGCGTCAAAATTATGACAAGTTGATCTTGAAAAGAAGGGCTTATGGAGTTACAACAAGGAGGAATTCAGATGAAAGCATTGCACTTCCACTTTATATAGACCCCAACGGAATGATTTTAAAAATGGAAAAAGAAGGATTTAAAAGCATGATGTGTCTTCTTTAATGTAGMTAAGTGTGGAAAATATGGCTGCAGTGGGGGACCAAATTTAATGTCTCTCTTTATGAACGTAACAATTCATTGTTTACTCTTAAACTTGTGGTTATGCAGGGGAAAAAAAAATCTATGTTATTGAATCCAAAACTCTTTTGCTATTTCCTAAGTGCATTCTGTCTGAGTGATCAGTGTTTGYGCTGCATTATGGACACAAATCAATGGCACAAAAAGGAGGTGTTTTCATAAACAGCTTTTGATTATTGAACATAACAATGTTTCTGAATTTGGGCCGTTTTGTCCCACTGACTCCGATTAGGTGAAGTAATGTGATCAATTCACTCATCTGAAAATGTTTCTGCATGCACCGCAGCAAGGCATTAAGAAGTCTGGTTCTAATTCATCATCGCAGCTATACACATTATATGATTATTGATGGCTTTTGCCTCGGGCAAGTCCATTTGTTTTTCAGTTTTGTGACAGGCGGCAGAACGCTGGACGGAGGTTTATTCTGCAGGCCTGCCAACAGCATCACACGCAGCTTTCTCTGATTCGAATATTGATCATCATTTCTCCCAATAACCTGGCCTCTGACACATTTCACAACATTATGTGGAACAGGTCAGAGGACATTGTTAATAAAACAACATGATGGATGTTGTTATCCACAGCATTAACCTTGGGTTTACAAGCCTATAACTGCAACCCAGCAGAGCTTGGTGTCAGAAAATAAGGAGTTTAGCTATAAGGTGGTCCAGAAACATGAAAGTGACATTATAGGTATATTCCTCTGCAAAACAATTTACAAGTTGGCTTATGTGTCACATTTTAGATTGCCAATTTTTTTTTGCCAATGTTTGTAAGATATTTGAATGGTTATACACATCTATTATTAAGACATTGCATTTTCCACACAATGCAGTGTGAATGTTGAGTGTTAAATGACTTTATTGAAATTTGCTGAAGAAGCTGAAATTGAGAT